ACACATGGGAAGCTAAACCCTAGTCCAGATGTTGCTAGGCGACCATGGAAGTAGAACAAAGGGTTTTAGATGGATAACATTCATCTTCACAGTGAGGAAATATCTAACACTGGACCATGGGATCCTAGGGCCAAGTCACTCGTTCCTTAGGTTTTGGATAATATTTTATAGTAAGCCTTTCTGAGAATTTTGTGTGGGGCTTGAACTGCCAATGGACAGAATTTTTTTTTTTTTTAAATACACTAGTACTCTTCAGCAATTAGCTGCAGCTCAAGAGCCATTCTTTCTCTTTGAAATGAGTTTGTATATCTTTGTTTTGATGGTTATTTGCTGATTTTACCAGTCTGATGCTCAGAGAACGATCTAATTTGCCTGCTTTCCAAATTTTGGGTATATGGGGAGAAATATACCACATGGCTGTCTCCATGTATGGCCTACTGAAGTATCATTTGAAATCAGAGGCCCTTGTTCCACATACCTGCAGTCAGCCATAAGGACATAAGAAACGTTCTGCTTGAGTCAGCACCCAGCTTTCGATTTCTGGCAGTGATACAACAGGGCATTTGTGGGATGGTATAAGAATTATCCTTCTAGACATTCAACCTGAAAGCAATATGGATGTGCTCTTGACATACCTAGTTTTTCTTTATGAATCCATCATAAATTATTTCTGCAAATTTTTGTCATCTTGCCTGAAATAGGTTGCACTTATTTACAACTTATTCCCTATGTAACTGCTGTTGGAATAGGTTTCTTATGTTTGTTTCCTAGCTTTCTTTCAGTTGCCCTAAAACTATGTCTTAAAGTCTTCAGGAGCCCTACCATGAGCTCTCCTTGCAGTGTTCCATATTGTAAAGAAGTTACAGTTTCCCATCCACATACTGCCTAACACTTGGGTTCTTTTAGATGTCACAAACATACGGTCGCTTCAGTCTTCAGCTATCCATCGTGAAGAGTCCTGATGCTTTTAGGGTCATTTGAACAATATCCAGTCCTTTGTGTTTTACAGGTGTCAAAGCTGAGCCACACTTGTTAAATATTTTATTCCACCTGTGAGCAGCGAAGGACTCAACACAAAGTCTGAGTCCTTGTGGTCGTATAGTTTACTTTATGGAATTGTAGGCTGGCCTTCAGAGAGAAAGAATGAATGAATCAAGGAAGCTGAGGCAGAAAAGGATTCCTGTAAAGAATCCTTGGCTCTGCAGGGCGATGGGAAATGTGGGAGGACTTACGAGCAGAGCCTCTTGGGGAGAAGAGCAATTCACCCTCTGGGGGCTGATCATTTTGTGCAGTTAAGAAGAGGCTACCACAATTCTGTATTGGGGGAGGGGTGTGTGGGGTTCCTCCCCCCTCATTCTACTCCTCTCCTACCCTTGTGAAGAGTTACTGAGACCTTACTGGGTGCCAAATATTGTGCTAGTAAGCATTTGTATGGACTAACTTCATGGATTATCTGATATCTAATGAACCAAGAAGTCTCATTTTCTACATTAATTTTTCTAATCTATTTAGAAACTACTTTGGCACTAGTAAATAATAAATATACAAGAGCTGTCTCTATATAAATGGGCTTATGCTGTATGCTGTCCAAGTTTCAAAATAAATTGTCTGGCTAAAAGTACCCTGTGTTCAATTATGATACATTTTTTTCCTTTAGTAAAATATTTCTAGCACACTGAATAATAACTCTTGAGTTATTTTCAGAAGGCCTTGCTCAAACAGTCTTTCCACTTCTTGATGTGGTCAAAAGGACTGAAAGTATTTGTATTAAAGGCTGGCTTTTGTGGGAGGTGTACCCCTTCCCTGCTTCCTCACTCATTGTCATTTAGTCCAAAACTATATTGAAGGAAAGGGAGGGCCCTTGCTCCTAAAAGCTGTATCTGCCATGTTGTCAACTCATCAGCAGCAATTCAGTCCAACTCACATTTTAATTATATTAATGATGAATATGGGAGTATTTTGATCATTTATATATGTGAAACAGGGCCTCTAGATGAAGGAGAGGCTAAGGGCCATGAAAGTCTCAAAAAGCCCTGCTCTTGGCTTAACCTAGAACATTCTGGCAAATGAGAAAGAGGCCCCCCTTCCTATCTCCATGACAGTCTTGTCCCTGCTCCACCCCCATCTCATGCTGCTCTGGCCCTTGTTCTTGACATTTTTGTCCACTCCTCAAACACAGTAAGTGTATTTTTGCCTCAGACCCTTTGCACTAACTCCTCTCTCTGCCTAAGGCAGTTCACCAGAATTTTGAATGGCTAACCTCTTCTTAGTTAAGTCTTAGTTCAGTTTTATCTCTTTTATATCACTGTCCAGTCCAGCTCCTTCCCAGTAACCTGATCATATCATCCTCCAAACCAAGGTTCGGGGAACGTTTTCTGGGAAGGGCCAGATATTAAATATTTTCAGCTTTATGAGCAACACAGTCTCTGTGACAAGTACTCATTCTGCCATTGCAGCATAAAGGCAGCCGTAAATGATGTGTAAACAAGTGGATGTGGCTGCTCCAATAAGTATTTATTTGCGAACATTAAAATTCGAATTTCATATAATTTTCATGTGTCATGAAATATTCTTTTGATTTTTTTTTTTTATCCTCACCCGAGGACATTTTTGCATTTATCTTCAGATAGAACAAGAGGGAGAGAGGGAGGAAGAGAGAGAAACATCAATATGAGAGACACACATCGACTGGTTGCCACCCACACAACCCCTACTAGGGCCGGGAACAAACTACAACCAAGGTATGTGCCCTTAGTGGGAACTAAACCTGGGTCTCTCTGGTCCAGGGGCTAACGCTCTAACCGCTGAGCCAAACTGGCCAGGGTGATTTTTTTTTTTATCCTCACCTGAGGACATTTTTCTATTTTGTTGTTCAGTTAGAGTGGAAGGGAGAGAGAGAGAGAAACATCGACGTGAAAGGGACACATCGAGTGGCTGCCACCCGTACAACCCAACCAGGGCTGGGAACAAACTGCAACCAAGGTACATGCCCTTAGTGGGAACCGAACCCAGGTCTCTCTGGATCTCAGGCCAACACTCTAACCGCTGAGCTAAACCGGCCAGGGCCAAGGCGATTTTTTTAAATCAACGATTGAAAATATAAAAACCATTCTTAGCTTGTAGGCCATACGAAAACAGCATTTGGCCCATGAGCTGATCCCTGCTCCATACCACGATCCTGTTGTATTTCCATTTTACTGACATCTGAAGTCATGTTACTTACTCATTTGTTCATTTGTTGTCTCTCTCTCTCCTGGCAGACTGAGCTTCTGGAAGGCAGGTTTTTTGTCTTATTCACTGTGATATCTCTATCAACTAGAGCAGTCCCTGGAATGTGGAGGTGCTTTATTAATATTTGGTGATAGAATGAATAAATCTATATATTTCATGAGCCACTAAATCCAGTAAAGTCCTCCTTCCACATCTTTCTTACATATATCCTCTTCCAAGTGCCACAGCCCACCCAGGTCTTGACCTATGTCTGTCTGTCCCTGTAGTAGTGTCTCAAGCCTTCCCGACCCCTTGTCTCTCTCCAGGCTACCCTGGAGTATAGTCCCTTGCTAAAGTATGTCTTTCACTATATCGTTTCTCTGCAAAACCCAAAACCTTTTCACAGTTTTTCTATTACCTACAGTCTAAAGTCCAATTCCTCAGATAGACCCTTACGAATCAGTTCCCTGTCTGCTTTTCCAACCTTACTCCCTGGAATGAGCCCTCAGCCTTGTCTCCTCCTTGTCCCTGAAGCCACTGCTCATTTCCACCTTTGCTCAGGCTGTGCCCCAGAACCTGTTAGCATTTGGCTCAGGCAGCGTTCTCCTGTGTAATATGAGGCAAGTCCACAGTGAGTGACGGGAACCAAGAAGGAGGGAGCTGAGCCCAAGGAAAGTCAGAAAGTGAAAAGTGAATGCAACCAAGCGTGACTCATTCAGGAATAAAGTGGGTTAAGGAAGATTTAGTTATCCTGGGGGAATAATTGAAAAGTGCTGCTTGGTACGGTTGTCTGGACTAGTGCATTTCAGACTACGGTGCAGATAAATATTTGAGGAATCTTGTTAAAATGCAGATTTTGCCCTTAGGTCTGGGGTAGGGCCTGAGATTTTGCTTTTTTAACAAGCTCCCAGGTGATGCCCATGCTTCTGGCTCTAGGAAAATTCATTGAGTATCAAAAATCTAACTAAATGTTTAGGAACTGAGCCTTTTCCATAGGACTTAGCTATGGAAACAGGAAGTCAGTTGGCCTGCCCCTCAGAGGCCTGCCTGTATATCATGAGAACCTTCAAGAGTCCTAGCCGACAATCAAGGCGTTTCTTGCATTCTGAATGACTGAATAGATGTGTGATGATTTATGTCTTCTTGGTGAGGATGGGGTTGCTGAAGAGAACTAAGGAGTGTTAGGCTGCAGCTTAAAGGAAGAAGCACCTTTAAGTCCTGAGATGGTGGCAATGAAAATGGCCATTGGGAAATAAAAAGAGTCTAATGTTGGTTGGGCTGCTGGCCTGTCATATCACACACACACACACACACACGCAAACACATGCGTACATCTGCATACATGTGCACACATGCGCATACACGCACACACACACTGGTGTAGGCTGGAGTGCAGTGCTTTTCCCTGAAACAGCTGAACTATCTCTTCTCTCCAAGGAGGCACTTTTCTGATCCACTAGAACATACAGTTTCGAATCTAGGTTTTGCTGGAGTACAAGTAATGTACTTCACTGTAACAAGACAATAGGAATCACATCTGTAATGTGTATCTCCCAACAGAAGAGCAGGTAGGAAAGTATTTTGCTGATGCAATAAACTTGCCTGTTCAAACAGTTTCTCTTTAATTATTAGCCTGGCCCTTGTATCTTTGGCTAATCAGTAGCTGGCCTTCTAATGAAATTGGATTTTATTTCCCTAAGGTTTAACTTTGTGCAAACTGTATGTTATCCAGATTAATGATTTTAATGACACTTCTTGCATCAGTAAATTCCCCTCTGTTTTTATCACAGAAGAACCTCTGCTTGGGCGAGTGAACTCTGATCTTGACACGGAGTCATAGCCATGGTAAGTTCGGGATGCCTCACCCTACCTGGTGCCAGCTGCAGACAGGTACAGGATGCTTACTCAGTGACTGTTGGTTTATGCAGAGGATTGTTTGCTCAAAAGAGGGGAGGGAGGAGGAAATGAGAAAGCAGTTTCTTTTTTTTTTAAGCACTATTTAATTTCTTTCAGGGGTGGTGAATAACTTGACACTTAAAATGAATCATTCTAACATCCTGAAATACGGAAACAAGTTGTAGTTCATTATAGAATATTTAGACAAAGGAAAAGGAAAAACTGAAAACCCTGTGGATTCTACCACCAGATGAGTGTAACCCCATCATTACTGACTTAACAAGAAGGGCATATCTAGCCATATGGGCTCGTCATCTGTCTCCTGCTTTTGGCTGTGACTGGACTCCTCGGAGCTTGGTTATCTGATCTTTGAGATAGACAGGGAATAGGATCCCTTTGAGATTTCCATAAAGCTCAGTGCTAAGATGGAAACTGAGCCTGTTCACTGCAAACATGGCTCTGCCTGAGGCTGGCCATCTGCTCTCCTTCTTCCGCCCAAATACGACTTCTGAATAGGCAGGTGATTCTGATCCCTGCTGCTCTGGAGGGAATAATAGAAGTAGCATCGTATACCTGGAGAGAAACTAGAGATCCTGCCAGATCTAGACGCCTTCTTTTAGGAAGATGGACATGCAAACTATCCTGAACAAATAGTAATATACTCTTAAATTTTTTTACATTAGACATTCTAGAATTTTCTTCATCATCATCGATGGTCAAAGGCTTACTCACGTCTGCTCCAAATCACTTATGCTTTCATTTCAAGCTCATTCCTTCTTGATAGATTCTCCCTGCACATGGAGAACATTTATTCAGAGATGTTTACAGTGGCCTTACTTTGTGCCAGATGTGGTACTTGGCTCTGGGGACTCAAAGTTAATGGGACACTCTTCCTGTCCTTAACAAGTTCACAGCCTTCCTACAGGTGATGACTGTAATCAAGTGATCCTTTAATGTGCTTTTCGGTCGAAAATTACCTCAATTGCTCCCATCTTTCTTCCTAGGACCTGTTTTCCCATAATGACTGTTACTTATTGAACAAAAAAAGGAAATTTTTTAAGGAAAGGAAAAACACAATAGTCACAATATTGTAATTTTGTTATTTTCCATCATTTTATTTTAGATCCTACTCACATGTATCATGGTTTTTATTTTATTTATTTATTTATTTTTTTTAATTTTTTGTTAATCCTCACCAGAGGATATTTTTCCATTGATTTTTTTAGATAGAGTGGAAGGGAGGGAGGGAGAGAGAGAGAGAGAAACATAGATGTGCGAGAGACACATTGATCGGTTGCCTCCCACACAACTTTTCTGATTGTTATCACCATAGATAGTGATTGTTTTGCCTATATTAGAACATCCCATAGATGTCAACACAGAACATGTACTCTTTTGTATCTGGTTTCTATTGCTGAACATTATATTTTTTGCAATCCATCTATGTTGCTGTAAGTATCAGCAGTTTGTTACTCCATTGCTTTTTATTGTTGATTAGTATTTCATTGGACGCCAATCTTTTTTACTTGTATCATCTTCATTATCATTTTAATAACTGAATAATATTTCATTGATTGTGATAGAACATCTCTCTCTAGCTATTTATTTTTGTCATTCTTTCCCACATCCTTCTTGTTTCCTTTGCCTGCTGCCATGAGAAACTTCCCAGAATGAATAATGGTACATTATGCCCTGGAATTTAATCAGTATGGATATTTAGAGATAACAGGAACAAATTTCCCAAGCTTATCACTTTCCTGGTAAAAAAGAGTGACTAAGAATGCTAACTGATAAAGTGAATCATGTTTACAAATCCCTCTATCAGTTCATCTTGTTAGATATTAATTTTCATTCCTTAGTAGTGTCCCTCAGTAATGCATTTTGCTTTAAAGTTGAATGTAGTCTCTGAATACCATCCAATTTTTTTTCAACACTAGAGTTCCAAAAGAACCTTGTGAAACACTCAACTCAGGAAGCTATCTCCTGGTAGGGCCAAGGGCTGAATTAGGCCATGTTGGAATTTTGATAGCAAATCATCAATATGCTTATTACTGTTGATATACAGTAGAAGAAAAGAAATGCCTGTGTTAATTTCCTCCGGCCGCATAACAAAGTATCACAACCTGGGTGACTTAAAATAATAGAAATTTGTTTTCTCACAGTTCTGGAGCCCAGAAGTCCAAAATCAAGGATTGACACAGCCATGGTCCCTCTAAAACGCATGAGGTGGTTTGCTGGCAGTCTCTAGGTGTTCCTGGGCTTGCAGCTGTAATCTCCCATCTCTGCCTTAATCGTCATGTGGCATCCTCCCTGTGTGCCTCGTCTTCACATGCTGCTCTCTTAAAAGGACACCGGTCATACTGGATTAAGGAATCAACCTACTCCAGTATGACCTCATCTTAATTTAATTAATTACATCCACACTGACCCTATTTCCAAATAAGATCACATTCTGAAGTACCAGGGCTTAGGACTTTAACATATTCTCTTTTTTGGGGGGAGGGGTACAATTCAACCCATAACAGTGCCCAAGAAAATTAATGTCATAGATTTCTACTTTCCTCTGACAGGTGTGTGAGGATGATGACTAAGTGCTGAATGCTGACCACATGTCTAGGCGATAGAAGTCTGGTCTTTCAGCAGATGAGGCCTACAGTCTCTGGTACCTGAGGCCTTTGGATGGGCTTGATGTGGACCAGAGTGGGCCTAAGAGGTCCAGGCCAATGTGAACTAGCTCATAGAGCTCAAGTCTGACTTACTAGAGAACTGCCCTAGGGTATAAAAATCCTCCATGACTTCAGATGGCCCGTGTCACATCGTTGGATCAAATTAAATCATTAGAAAACTTTAGATGTATTCTGCATGGTTTTTGCCACCTTATACAAATACTCTATTCTGGATTTTGCTTTGGCATTATCCCTTAGGTTTACGTTGGAGATTTTAACAGGAGTATATATAAGAATCTCATAACTATGTTTGTTATGGAGATCTTGAAGTCATATTTGATGATGATGATGATGATGGTGGTGGTGGTGATGGTGATGATAGCCACTGAGGTTGAGTTTTTGTTTTAGAGTTTTCTATTTGCTGGATTCTGTGCTAAGTGCTTTGCTATATTATCCTGCTTCATTATTACATCATCCCTGTGGGTTAATATAATTATTCTTAATATACAGGTAAGAAAAATGAAACTTCCCCTTGACCATACAGCTAGAAAGGGTTGAAGCCAAGATTCAAACTTGAGTCTATTCCACTGCGGTTTCTGTGTTCCTTTCCATTAAGCTTTACTACCTCTAACTATAGCCTATTAAAAGATAAAATAGAACCATAATACCATTATCATACCTAAAAATGTTAACACTAAATCCTTAATGTCATCAAGATTGTCAGTGTTCAAATTTCCAGTTGTCTCGTGTTTTTTTTACTGTTTAATTCAGGATCCAAATAAGGTTCACCCATTATGATTACTAATATACCTTTTTAATCTCTTTTAAGCTATAGTTCCCCTCCATCTCTCTCTTTTCTAATTCCTCTTGCAATTTATTTAGTGTGGGTTAACACTTTCCCGTCTCTTCTATTTACTATAAGTTGGTATTTGGCTCTAGAGGTGTGATCAGATTCAGGTTTGATTTTTCCCCCTTTGTGTGTGGGCAGGGGTTGAGGGGGACAAGATTACTGTATAGGTTGTTGTGTAACTTATTTTACCTCTTTCCTCTTTGCCCTCCAACTTGAGCTACACTGCCCTCTGTCCTGCTGCTCCTATAAGAGCTAGTTCCAGCCTCAGGGCCTTTACCTTAGCTGTTTCCTCTGCCTGTAACATTTTCCCCCTGATCTTTGCATGGTCAGCTGCTTCATGTCATTGGAATCTCAACTGAAATGTCACTCCGCACAGCAGCCCCTTCAGGACCTCGCTGTCTGCTCCATAGCACTTCTCACCACCAAGCACTTGGTGAAATATTTATTTGTCGGCTTGTTTACTCCCTGCACTTCCCTCCCCTCCCCCTGAACTAAAACATCAGCTCCATAAAAGCAAGAGCCTCACCTCTCATGGTCCCTAGTGTATTCCTCGCACCTAAAATAGTGTCTGGCCCATGGTAGGTGTTCAGCAAATTTTGCTGAATGAGTTGCCTCTGCGTTGGTAAGATGCTGCCTCTCAGTCATCTTTTTCTCTGTGCTCAGGAAACCAAAAGAGGCACCATCAAAGCTGCTTCAGGATTCAGTGCCACTGAAGATGCCCAGACCCTGAGGAAGGCCATGAAAGGGTTGGGTAAGTGTTGTGTATCACAGTCACACAGAGGGTGCCGTGTCCATTGCAATTGTGAGTAGGTCTCTTTCTAAGAAAACATAGAGGGAACAAGTTGGCTTTTCAGGACAAATTAGATGGAAGGGCCTTACTTATTAATTTTACTACAGACATTTTAGTTCAATGTTCTCATTCTGTATTTCCCCAATCATTTAAATCTGTTTTGCATTGCAACATGTTAATTCTATATATAAATATTTAGAAATGTGTCTGTTCTCTAATTACTGCTAGGTGCATATAGTGCCGTAAGGTTTACAAAGCACTTTCACAAGTATCATCTCAGTGGATATGTGCAGTGACCCTGTGATTTAATGAAAGCAGTTATTGCTCTTGTCATTTTCAGCTCATTTTACAAATGTGGAACTGAGACCCAGAGAAGTAACACAGTAAGTCACTTAGTAAGTAGAAGTGAGCCATGAGTCACACTCAGCAAAGCCCAGCGCCAAGCTCGGGCTTGCCCACTCTGTCACATTCTGTCCCTTGAGTCCCTCTGCCTGTTGCTGTGACAGGCACAGCTGTGCAGTACCCATGTGCTGTGCAGGGGATTTTCTGTGAGGAGGCTGTGTGTACAGAAAGGTTTGTTTCCAGGGCACTGCCCTCCATTTAGCCCCTCAAGGGCAAAGGCTTGTGCTAGGTGAGCACAGGCGTGCAGGGTGTGCTGCGGGCTACCCTGGCCTACGTCCTTCCCTGGGTGGACATTTGGCCAGAGAAGTGCTTTGGTTGTAGCTGCTATTTAGAATCTCCTTGAGATCTAGATAAAAATCTAGACTATCGGGTTAGTTCCAGTTTTTCTATCTAAGAAGAGTTCATTTTACTTAGCCTCAATGCTCCTAACAGCAACAATAACAATAATAGCAAACATTTATTAAGCTCTACTATGTGTCAGGCAATGTGTTCCATGGATTATCTGTTTTAATCCTGATAGTAGTTTTACTGATGAGAAAGATTTGCTGCTTTGCTTAAGGTCTCAGAACAGTCAGGGTTAGAGTCAGGATTCTGGCCAAGTCCAGGTAGTCTGGCTTCAGAGCTGGGGTTTGAACCACTGCACTGTTGTGCTGCCCAGCTTTGAACAGAACAGTGTTTTAAATCTAGGTCTTTGTCTCCTCGTTTTCCCCTTTTCATAAATAAAATGGAAAATGTACGTGGCCTGCTCTTTTTTTCAGGTTTATCCTGATTCTTTGGGATATGTCAAGAACACTGTAATTCAGAACGTGGACAACATGACATTCAGAATTGTCCAAATCAGAGTCAGGAGACATTTCATAGAACCAGCGCTTTCCAGTGCCTGCTGTGTGGGGGCCAATGCAAGTCGGAGGGTTGGAGGAAACCAGGGTTATAAAAGCTAGTCCTTGTGGTCAACTAGTCCATGAATACTAGGTGGCTAAAGCATATATACAGAAGTAACTGTTATCAATTCATAATATGATAGCAGTAGGAGGGACACAGATAACATCCTATTAGGGTTCAGAGAGGAGATCTGAACCCCACATTGCATTTGGGGGCACCAGGCAAAACTTCTTGGAGAATGTAGACTCTGAGGTGGGCCTTGGGAAAGTTTTCATAAATAGAGCTAAGAGAGAATGTGTTTCATGTGAATGGAATAGTATGAGCAAAGACATGGGATGAGTGTGAAGATCGCCCCATTTATCATTTCAGCTGAGGCCTAGGGAGTCATGGTAAGTACATGGAAAGGTGGGTTGTAGCAGGAGGTACTTGCAAAGCAGGAGTTGGCTGGTTGGGAACTTTCTGAGAAGGAAGGTACCAAAGGGAAGCTACTGAGGAGGCCACCTATAGAATCACAGACATGGGGGGCAGGATGGCCCAAAGGCAGTGGCCAGGAAACAACCAATGCCAGAATCATGACGCCAAATGAAGGCGGTTAGGGAGCCACAAACCAATAGACTGGTTGTGAAGGATGTCAGGAGAATGGAGCACAGTACAGTTGGGTCAAGTACAATAATTCAAGAGCTTGGTCGGTGGGTTTGGCTGCCTGGTGTCCTTTTCTATGGCTCTGTATCATAGTGGTGATTGGGACGTTGTAGAGAATCTCAAATGCCAGACTGCAGTGCCCGTGGTAAAGACAGCAGAAAGTGGGGAGCCATTGTGTACTCCTGGGCAGAGGGGACACTGAGAATTTTCCTTTATAGGAAAATAAATCTGGCAAAACTTTAGAAAGACCAATTAGGAGGTGAGAATACTAGTTAGCAGACTCTTGCAGCTGTTTAAGAAAAACCCCTGAAATCCTGAATGAGAGTAGGAGTGGTAGGAATTCAAAAGAGAGAACAGATGCATACAAGACTGCAGAACTAGGTTTTGCATGACTTGGCAGGAAATTTTAATGTGGAGGAAGAAAGAGGGTAAAAAAACAACAAAGCTATTTTGAGAGTTCAAACTTGACTGACTGGAAGGATGGTGCCTTTCACATAAAATGGGATAAGCAAAGGGCGGTGAGCCATCTCTCCCCAGCTAAGATTTCTGAAGGGGAAAAGAATGGTTGTATCTGTTACTCTCTTTAAAAAAAAAAAAGGAAGTGCCCGGGCCGGTTTGGCTCAGCGGTTAGATCGTTGGCCTGCGGTCTGGAGAGACACGGGTTCGGTTCGCGCTAAGGGCACGTACCTTGGTTGCAGTTTGTCCCCGGCCCTGGTTGGGTCGTGTGGGTGGCGACCACTCGATGTGTCCCTTTCACATCGATGTTTCTCTCTCTCTCTCCCTCCCACTCTATCTGAACAAAATATCGAAAAATGTCCTCGGGTGAGGTTAAAAAAATAAATAGGAAGTACAGAAAGTGGGTGCCTAAGGTATGTAAATTTAAAGTTCTGTAGTTTATTCCCTACACCTTACATTTTTCTGGATCTCTGATCTTGCAAAGAAGAACCCTGGTAAATCTAATAGTATTTCATTTCTCCCTGAAATGTTTCCGTAGAATCTTTTCTGTGACCCGTCACAACTCCTCACACAGTACAAACAATGAGAAAACAGAAAACTCACAAAGTATATATGAATATTTAGCTATTACAAACTGAAGGACCAATTTGAAAAATCAGAAGAAAGTACCCTATAAAAAGGCTGCTGCTGAAAAACAGTCAAACAAAACTCAGGACATTTCTAATTTGTAATTCATATTGTAAAGTTTTGGTAGTATATTGCATCATGGAAATTTATGGGCAATTATAAAAAAGGAGCCATCTGAGATCAGGAAAGACAGCTTGGAAATGAAAAACACAATTGCCAGCATTAAAACACAGTAGATGGAGTGAGCAGCCAATTTAAACCCTGCAAAGTGCCAAATCAGCGAACTGAAAGACAAATTTGAATTGTTTCAAAACTCAGAGACAATTATAAAGAGATTAAAAATGGTTAGAGTGTCTGCCCGTGGATCAGAGAGTCCCGGTTCGGTTCCCGCTAAGAGTACATACCTCAGTTGCGGCTTGTCCCCAGCCCTGGTTGGGGTCATGTGGGTGGCAACCAGTCGATGTGTCTCTCTCATATCAATGTTTCTCTCTCTCTCTCTCTCTGTCCCCCCACCCCCCTTCCACTATCTAAAAAAAAAAAATCAATGCCCTGGTCAGTTTGTCGCAGCGGTTAGAACATTGGCCCACAGACAGATGAGGTGCAGGTTCAATTCTGGTCAAGGGCACGTACCTCAGTAGCAGTTCGAACCTGGCCCTGGTTGGGGTCGTGCAGGAGGCGACCAGTCGATGTGTCCCTCTCACATGTCTGTCTGTCTGTCTGTCTCTCTCCCCCTCTCCCCCTTCCACTCTATCAGAACAAAGATGGAAAAATGTCCTCGTGTGAGAATTAAAAAAAAAAAAAAATCAATGGAGGGAGAAAGGCTCTTCCTTTCGTGTGGCTGCAGCCGTTAGGTAAACCAAGACGGGCGCTTACAAGTGCACCCAGGAGCTATGGAGGAAGCAGCAGTCCGATGTGATGCGCTTCCTTCTCCGGTGCGCTGCTGGCAGTACCGCCAGCTCCCTGCGCTCCGCAGGGCCCGCCCCACCGCCCGATAAAGCGCGCAGGCTGGGATACAAGGCCAGGCAAGGTTAGGTCATATATCGGATTCGTGTGCGCGTGGTGGCCGCAAACGCACTGTTCCTCAGGGTGCGACCTATGGCAAGCCTGTCCCTCATGGTGTTAACCAGCTGGAGTTTGCGTGAAGTCTTCAGTCTGTTGCCGAGGAGAGCGCTGGACGCCACTGTGGGGCTTTGAGAGTCCTGAATTCTTACTGGGTTGGTGAAGATTCCACATACAAATTCCTTGACGTCATCCTCATTGATCCATGCCATAAAGCTATCGGAAGGAATCCTGACACCCAGTGGATCACCAAACCAGTCCACAAGCACAGGGAGACTCGAGGGCTGACATCTGCAAGCCGCAAGAGTCGTGGCCTTGGCAAGGGCCACCAGTCCCACTACACTGTTGGTGGTTGTCGCCTGCAGCGTGGAGAAGGTGCAGTACTCTCCAGCTCCACCGTTACCGCTAATACAAGTAATGTTTGTAAAATTCTTACCTAATAAACAATTTAGGACAGTCAAAAAAGAAAAAAAATCAATGGAAAAGTATCCTTGGGTGAGGATAAACACACACACACACACACACACACACACACACACACACACTATGCAACTGTATTATATGACCTATATATTTATGGTTCAAGGCAGGGCATTCACCTGGAAAGTATTGTTATGTTGGCCGTTGTTATTATTTTATTTGACAATGTAAGTGAAAAGCGGTCAGTATCCCTGACTATTTAGATACTGCATGTTTTAAAAATTCTTGCGTCACACTGGTTGAAAATCGCTATGCTAAGTAATTCATTTAATGGTTCTAGTTAACACTTGCAGCAGCCTTATGATCATTCACATTATAGATAAGGAAACTGATACTCAGACAAGAGAAGTTAACTATTTTGTTCAGTGGTATATAGGTAACTAAAGGAGAAGCTAAGATTCAAATCTAGCATC